TGCTCTTCATGATACATTGGTATAATTACAATCACCACGAGGTTTTCACTGCCTGTGGTGTCGGTGTCTGGAAGAAGTTAGACAAAATTTCGGACATCGAGCGCAGCACACTGACGTCGCTGACCTCCACCGGAGGCTCGTCTACAAAGTCGGGGACCTTGTTGAGGTCCGTGAGGTAAGATGCGCCTTCCTCCTCTTCCTCCAGCTGCAACGCATCGAGTTCTATAAACCATATCAACGGCGTTGAATAAACTGGACACACGGCGCACCTGCTTCCAGATCCGCCTCGTCGAGCTCATCCGGGACCGCATAAGACCGGCCCATGATTTCCTGTATCTCGTTGCTCTGCTCCAGCAGGTCCTCCATATCGTAATGCATGCTCTGCCTCGCTTCGTCACCCGGCAGTCGCGCAGAGACGCAGCGCAACGCAGCGCACCTCGATCTTGTCGATATCAATCTTCCCATACTGCTTCCGCATCTCCTTGTTCGCGACCTGCATCGCGTCGAACGTCGCCATCGTGTTGCGCAGGTTCTCCGTCGTGAGCGCCGCAGACTCCATGTTGAACGTCTGCTGCGTGAGCGTCGCCAGCTGCGCCTCGTACATCTTTTTCTGCTTCAGCGTCCGCAGCGCGCGCTGCTGGATCGCATTCTACCGCGCGGACGCGAGTGAGCTGCGCGCGCGCGCGTGTGAGTTGGCAGTTGGCAGGCACACCTTCCCCGGACCGTTGCGCAGCTTCGCCATCTGCTCCTTGTACCGCCCCAGCTCCGCGTCCAGCTTCTTTATCTTGACCTCGATCGACGCCATGCGGACGTCCGTCTGACGACGCTCGTGGGTGCCTGCTGGCGGCACGCGGGGGGAGGACTCACTGACGAGATGGCATCCTGCAGAGTCGGCTTGGGCTTTTTGCTTGCGGACGATCCAAACAGGCGGTTCATGGTGGAGGTGTGCAGGCTGCTGCGTTTGGCCGTGACGTCACTCGGCGGCCAGATTCTTTGTCAGCAGTTACAAGTATCTTATCTTATTTGTAAGCACTTGCCTTTTTAGGATGTCAGAGGTAACTCAGAACTTAGTCGGCCCTTAGCAGCGCGCCTGCTTCAACTGCAATACACCTAGTGTCGCAAGGAAGTACAGATCACCAAAGTCAAAACGCAAACGGTCCAGTCCATTTCCATTGATACAACTGATTATCGATACATGAGATTGTAGATTGAAATCGAGATGGAAGCACGGCGGGCGCCGACGACATGCCCGCGGAAGCCGGCGGTGGCAGCCTACAGAGGCGGGGGCGCGCGCGAGTGCAAATGCGAGACGGTGTACAATACACCGGCGCGCGGCAGACGGTCAACGGTGTCCCCAGAGTGGTGCATGCGCACGGGTGCACTACGTGCCGACGCGTGGCGTTGCCCAATCCAAATCCACAGGCCCCAGATCGTCTTCAGGGAGGTCAAACCAGTCGATCTTGCCCGCAGGGATGGCGGCCTTGCCTTTCCCGCGCGAGAGCTCAGGCTGCGGCGCAGGGGCCGGCGAGTCCTCCTCCGCGCCATTGAAAAAGATGTCGCAGGACGGGCGCGGTATGTCGTGCGCGCCGTACCCGTGCCCGTATTCGTCTTCGGACGGGTCGGCGTCGGCGTCGGCGTCGGTTTCGTCGGGCTGCTCCTCGCTCATGTAATGCGGCTGATCGTCTCCCGAGTCAGCGTCGAGCTCGTCGATGTAACAAGAAGCGGGGCTCGTCCACCGACGCTTGATGAAAGGCCGGTACGCCGGCTCCGGCGCTTCGTTGATGGCTGGCAGCGTCAAGTTGTAACGCGAAAAAATGCGGATGCACGTCCGCGACGGCGGCGGCGGCGCGAAATCCTCGTCGTCGTCCTCAAGATACAGGTTACGAAAGCGTGCTTCGCGGACCGAGGGCACCGCGCGCGCGCTCGCGTCCTCGGCGTCCTCGTCCTCGTCCTCCTCGAGGAGGGCCTCCAACCGGGCCGAGGATCGCTCGGCCATCCCAGGCAGCGAGAAGACGAAGCTGGAAGTGCCCCAGAACGGCGGGGATGGCGTGCGCGTCTCGTCGGACTCGGCGTCCGATTCTGACCAGGGCACTGAAGAGACTAGAGCCTCGGCCCCAAGGTACCCACCGTCCTCCGCGGAACTGAACCAGGGCAGCGGGAATGGCATGCGCGTCAGGTGGGACTCGGGGTCCGATTCTAACCAAGGCACTGAGAAAACTGCCCCTCCCTGTCGCTCTTGGGCCCCAGGCTCCTCCGCGGGAGCCTCCGCTTCCTCGTCCTCCTGTTTGGTCGCGAGCTGTACCGGCACGGTCAAATGCCGCTCGTCCTGCTCGGGGACAAGGGTCGCCTCGACATCCCACGGAGCGTTGGGGAGCGCGCCGCTGATCACGATGTGCGGGACGCCGGCGGCCGGCCAGTCGGACTCGTGGATGGTGACCATGCAACACTGTCGCCAAGCTGCGAGCAGGGGCGCCGCAGGATCCGTCCATGCGTAGACGTGCAGTTTGTCGAGGCGGTCGAGAATAGCGGGGTGGTCATAGTACGTGCGGACGCTGAGGCCGCCGAGGCACGCGAGGTACGCCTGGCCGAGATGAGGCCATCGTATGAAACGCGTGGGGATGGGACGTACCACTGTTTTGTACATGTGTTTTTGTGCGAAGAGAGCCTGGTACGGCTGATGGCTTTTTAGTGCGGAAACCTGAGATATGGTCGGGGACAGCTATTGTGCAAGATACAAGGACTTACGAATGCCGCAAATTGTGAGGGACTGAAGGCAGTCATGGGTTCTTCGGGATGTGGGGCTTCGAGATGTGGGGCAGGATCGGTCGGTTCGAAGGGCGAAGCGGCGGATACAGTGGCAGGCACACGCAGGTGGGGGTCGACTTGTTGGCAGAGCTGGTTGGAACAGCGGCCGGAGAAGTCGCGCCAATCTTCGTGGACAGGAGTGAGGACGACAAAGGGCTCAGTTTCGCACAGAATGACAGCGCCAGGCTGTTTGTTCAGGGTGGCTAGAAACTGAAATGGGGTCACAACCAAGTGGAAAGGGAGTGGCACCCTGAACTGACATTGAAAGTTTGATTCAAGCTTTGATTCGACTGGAACGGGGGTGAGCGCACACAGCAGGGACAGCAGGCCACTGACCATTGTTGCATTAAAGGAGGCCCCGACACCTGCGTCATCACTGTCACGCCACAATTGGTCCGCCCTGACAACAGCCGCCCCACGCTCGGGGTGGCCACTGGCACCTTGAACGGCCGCAGGGACGCGTCTCGAGGCGTCCTCGTCAGGCAGGGGACAGAGGCGCTGGATGAACGCGTCGTTCATGAGGCGTGAGACGCTGGTGATCGCGGGTGGCACTCACCGTTTCAGGGTCATTAGTGCGCGTGGCGTTGGCTGTGTGGGTGTGGGTGTGGGTGGCGACGAAGACGGGGGCGACAGGCGCGTCGCGGGCGTGAATGGACGCGGCGGCGGCGTGGAGGCTGGGGTGTGGGCGCGCTGTGATGAGTGGCTCGCGACGGCACGTGGCGACCCCCTTGGGTGATGGCCTTGAGCGCGTGCGGCGACGCGTCGAAGGCGCGTACGCGTCGGCGTCGGTGTCATTGTCGGTAGCAGCAGTGGTGGCGTGAGCGTCGCTGGCGGCGGGCAGCTCGCCAAAGACGAGAGGCGCGTAAAACATGTAGTTGTTCAGAAGGAAGCACTGTAATAATGGTAGAGGGAGGAGATGCCAGTGGCAGCTGGCAGCAGAGTTATCCCGTGCACTTTATATAACCGAAGTTCCTTTGAAGACCCTTTCAGGTGCACAAAGCGCTGGCATCCATACGCGGCAGCACAAAGCGGCGGTGATCCCGATAGGCCGGGCGACTCGGATATCGGTCCAAGAGCGAACCCCGTCAAATATATTCTAAATGAAGGGTTCCTTCTCGTCCCGTGAGCGTACCAGACGATTACTAGGTTCCGCCGAAGACGGCCGGTGGCTCGCGAAACTTCGCGCTGTGACAGAAATGTGACACACACTGTCACGTTACTGGCTGTTTGCAGGCACGGCAAAATCGAACATGGTGGTAGCAATGGTGCTGTAAGTGGAACTGTTGGATTCGGACGAGGGATAGGATTCGAATAGTAAAAAATTCAGAATAAATAGAGCAAAAATGACCGCGCTACGGGTAATTCTATCCTGCAAAACAACTTCCGTGTTACTTGGTTGTTTATTATGATTTTGGTACCATTCGAACCGCTAATAAAATCCCCTCCAATGGCTCTAAGCTTATTATTACAGCTAAAAAAATGTGCGCATTTGAGGCCGTTCTTTCCTCCTTCCACTGTCAGCCACTGCGGGAGAATTTGTTCGTGTTTGTGGGATTGGCCGCCCCAGGGCGATTCACGTGATAGCCAGGGATGGCTCGCTTCGCTCGCCAAAAAGCCAGATGCCCCACGGCCCGGACCCGGATGCAGACATCGGCAGTCGGCCCGGGCCGACGAACAAAGTAAGTATATAAATTGTTTGGCATTTATTAATATTTAATGCCAAACCACGCTAACGCTGGGCTGAAGATGTAAATTTTTAGACATGAGCAGCCAGATCCAGGGTTTGGACATGCATAAGAGTCGATTTAGTGTATGCGCCGTCAGGCCGCGACGGGTCTTCAATATCATATAACATGCGTACATCTGTGGCTATGCAGCTGCAGTGCCTCCTAGCCCGCCTAGCTCAATCGGACAGACTTTTACAAGCCTTTGGGTTATCAATGTGAGACATGGAAGTCCGAGCGAATCACGGTTCATTGAAGGAGAACGCTCTCTGCGGTTCAAGCCTGGCGGGGAGCATGTGTCTTTTTTTTTTTTTTACCATCGCCGTCATGTGACTTGGTGCCGCCTAGTCGCACCCGCAATGAAACGCGCGGAAAGGTGCGAACCGCGCGTCAACAGCCCGTTAAGTAATAACATTTGCTGATGCGTACATCTGTGTCTATGTAGCTGCAATGCTCTGCACTTGCCTTCTAGCCCGCCTAGCTCAATCGGATAGAGCGTCAGACTTTTATGAGCCTTGGGCGGTTTCAATGTGATCTGAAGGCTGCGAGTTCGACCCTCGCGGTGGGCTATTGGATTCTTTTTTTATTTATTTTGATAAGCGATCTAAATTTCCGAGCCCAGGCCCTGGACCAACCAGGTGTATGATCGTCAGAGTCGTGACAACCTTGCCAGTGCTACGTACACGAGCGAACCGACGAGCTTTGCCGTCAATAAGCGTTGTCGTCAAAGAGGTTGGCGTGAAGGTCGAGCGGGAGTAAATAATAATATTGTGGGCTACCCGGCTACTGGTAACTGTTCGGACTCATCAGGCGAATGCAGACTCGTTCACGAGGCGAGCGGCCAGCCCGGGAGGGCGACTCTCGCTTCACAGGATGAGGAGAGTGAGCTGCATGATGATAGGACGGTCTGGACGCGGAATACAATATTCTTACTGTACATGTCTAAGCGTAGGTACAACGAGAACGGCCAACAAAAAAGTACATGAAAAGCTCAAACGAGAGCAGAGAAAGAAGACCGAACCATAAAAGTCCATTGGCACTAGGCCGCCGGAACTTGTATGTCAGTCCGTAAAAGTGTGCTCTCGCCGTAACCTCGTCATTCCGCTGCTCGTCCAGCCAAGCCTGGCCACGCACGAACATATCCCGCGAAGCAAACACTTCAAGGATTTCGCATTCGATATCTGGCCCAGCGAGCCTGTATTTCCGCCACAGCTGCGGACCCCTTCCAAATCCTTTCTCGACGGACGGCACGTCGTCGTGCCCGCCGACACCCACACCAAGAAGCTCGAAGCTAGGCGTGATCTCCAATTTGCTGAAGAGTTGACCGATGGCATACTTCTCTTCGAGGAAGAGATGAGCACATTCGGGGGACAGTATCTTGACCGTCGAGGTCGCAGTGCAGACGACCTTTCCCCCACATTGCAGATGAACTTGTCTATTCTGGACGATCGGCGACTCGCGTGAGGCTGATGCGATGACGGGAGAATTAGGAAGTGCAAGGGGAACCAATGTGCCGTCGGACCGCCTCGTGAACGTATGCGAATATATCAGAGCGACAACTATAGGACGTGCAAAGAATGCGCTGGATCATTGTCAGGATGCGGGGCCAATTTTGTCTTGCAACACAGTTACCTGAGCACGCGCTGCAAATCGCCTTGTGCAGAGAGCGCAACGCGTTCTATTCCAGTGAGTGTCTTTGGCCAAGAGAACTGTAAATTGTTCAGAAATTCTGGCACGCAACGCCAAACGACCAGTTGGCGCACGCTAACGCTGGTGATTTTAGGGCTGAATGTGTAAATTGAAGACATGAGCAGCCAGGTAACTGCCAAATGCGTCAGGTATTAGTTTCGTCAAGCGGTCAATGGGTGGTATAACCTAGATACACTAATAATAAGTCTTAATGGTAAATGGCATAGAACATAAGTAGAGATAACTCACGCTTCGTCTGGCTGTCGATGGGAAGAAAGAAGTATATATCTATACTGTATGTGCGGCCGCTGCATACGATTGAAATGGTATCGCCGCCCTCCGTGCCGGCTTGTCCCCAGCGGAGATATTCCACCTTCACCTTCGTCAAAATATCCGCTGGCCGTCGGTGTGGACGGAGGAGAGAGTGGTTCGATGGATTCGCGCACGTAATAACGATACCATATAAATATGTTGACGTGCCTGTTACGCGCGTTCATGAGGCGGTAGTTTGGCGAGTGCGATGGCACTTTGGTTGTCGCGCTGAGCGGCGTCGGAAATATGGTGAAAGCTGGTGAAAGGTTTCGCAAATTCGGAAATGATGTGGCTACGCCACACGATTTCGCGTGCAGCGATGTACTCGAGGAACAGTTGCTTGCGCGATGGCAGCGTTCCGTCAAACATGAACGCGTTGCTTGAGATTGAACGCCATCCAGGGTCGGAGTACAGACTGTACAGTACGCGACAGCAAAAAAACCTACCTTTAGATCAAAACGCGGCTTGGAGCGGCCATCGCGGCGATCACTGGAGGATCCCAAATCGGGCTATCACGTGTACGTTTCGAGTTGCATCGAGCGGATCACTGCTTGCTTGCTTGCTAGACAATAACGACAATTGTTTTTATCCGAAGCGTTATAAAACATGCGGGTCGCACTTTCTGCTCACGCCCCACTTTACGACCCTTCACGATCCGCTAGACGGTCACTTTAATTCTTTCAATTGGGCCACGCAGGCGTGTCTTCCATTCATGATACACCGACTTGTCCATGGCTCGGTACCGATGGCTTGGACGGTGTTCTTCCTTACTTTATTTACCTACCTCGCACCGGCCCAAATGCTTCACACGCGGACCGCGCTGGTGACTGTGACCCCCTCGACCCTGCTAGTCCACAACTCGACTTTCAACCCGTCCGAGAAAGTTGATGGACCTTCTGTATTTCTGGGGCTCCTTGGTAACCTTTGTGTGTGTTTTATGCCGTATTTGCTTAATCCCTTCTCTCAGGTTCATGCTCTCGCGTGAAGAACAATGCGCATGTCGGGTGCACCAATGCATCGACGCACCCCGTTTACAGTACGCATCACATACTGTGCTCATTGTATTCCTCTGTTCTCACACTGTGCATAGATCTCTCTGTATTGCCTTCCCGAGCCCCTAGCCACTTCCTGTCCGCGTCGCAGGCAGCCGCCATCGCTGCGGCGGTCGGGTTGTCGTTTTCCTACGCCTTCTTCGTCGGCCACACGCTGCAGGCATTCAACATCAAATACCTGGACCAGCCAGTGCTCCATCACTTTATAGCGTTTTTCGGTGTAATGGGCTTCCTTATTGGTAAGACTGTTCTTCTCGCTTCTTGCGCTCCGCGCTCATCTTCTCCTAGGTCTCACGGTGTTCCTGGTTATGCGCTTGTGGTTAGGCAAGGCAGTAGACGACTTCAATCTGATCGTCAGTGACCAGGGTACAAAGGGACCACAACTCATCGCCAGTGTTGGCAATGGGTTTATCAGTACGTCGCCCCTTATTCGTATAGCCGACCGATGCTTATATAGAGATATTTTCAGTAGTTTGGTTTGCATACGCATTCCACACGGCACCACTGTACGTTTCCATGGTGAGACTACTCCACGACAAGGCGCCTGCCTTGGCCCCCGGTGGCCCCGTTCCCGATGCCCCCGTTCCCGGTGCCCCCGTTCCCGGTGCCCCCGTTCCCAGTGACCCCGCCCCCGGTGGCCCCGCCCCCCGTGGCCCCGCCCCCGGCCCTACCCCGGCCCCAGCCCCCCGCGCCACCAACAACCACGCCGCCGTCGACCGAAACGGAGAACCTGCTCCGGCATACGACGGCCCGCCATCCCCGACGCGCGCGCCACCCCCGACGCGCGCGCAACCACAGGTGCCCGCGCAACCACAGCCAGCCCCCGCGCAACCACAGCCAGCCCCCGCGCAACCACAGCCAGCCCCCGCGCAACCACAGCCAGCCCCCGCGCAACCACAGCCAGCCCCCGACCCCAGCCCCCAGCAACCCCCCGCAACCACGCGCCGCCGCCCTGCCCCGCCTCCCCCGGACCGCCGTGTCCCGGACCGCCGTGTCCCGGACCGCCGTGTCCCGGACCGCCGTGTCCCGGACCGCCGTGTCCCGGACCGCCGTGTCCCGCCTGCCCTGCCCCCCCACACCGGTGCCGAGGCCCTCCGCCGCCAACAAGTACGGGCACAAGCTGCCGCCGCCATGAACAACCCTCTGAGCGCTGCCGGCCCCGCCTTCCCCACCCCGAATCCGCATAATCCGCATAATCCATTTAGAGCCTCACATCGGGCCGCCTCACATCGGGCCGCCTCAGATCTGGACGCCTCACGTCGGGCGGCTGGGGCCGCCGCCGGCTTTGGCAGATCCGCCTTCAACCCACTGCCCGAGTCCGAGGATCCATTCATTTAGTCGATGTGTAGCGTGATCTTTCACATTTATAGATAGGCTCGAAACCAGCCTGTCTATGAAAGCAAGCTTGTTGATAGACAGGCTGGTCGATCTGAGTTTTAATTTCCAATACAAAATTATTACCAAAAAAGGTTATTGCTGTATTAATCTTTTCGGGAGCAAGTATCAATAATATCTACCTAGGCACATTTACAACATCTCATGGAGTATATCCCGGTTTATTCGAAGGCAATCTGTGAATTTTTGGGCCGGCTAGCTCGAGATTCGTATGTTTTGTCTCTGTTTACTTGTGATGTCGCCCACTCGGAAACGCGGTCCAGAATAACCTTTTTTGGTAATAATTTTGTATTGGAAATTTAAACTCAGATCGACCGGTCTGTCTATCGACAGGCTCGCCTTCATAGACAGACGGTCACCGGTCTAATTTATAGATTAATCTCGTATTGTAGTGGATATTGATTTGTCTTATACTACATCACGATAATGTCCCAGGCTTCCAAACGTCGGAGACATGCCAATCAGGAATCTTCAATCGGACTGGCTGGACTGGGTGCCAGGGAGACCTCGCGAACTCCAGTGGACGGCCAGTCGGGATTCTGGAACCAGTATTAGTGCTGATGCCAGTATCGTTATAGTGCTGCACATCTCTTGTAGCGCCTTATTTCACCCAGATAGAAAGAAAAGTCTGCTTAATACATCAGTAGCACTGAGCACACCCACCGCGACTCCTGTGCCACGTCACCCGCACCTTCTCCCGTTGAGCCCACTGCGGCGCCCCGCATCCGGCGAGCCCCGCGCTTGCACTGGCCACGAGCTGCCACGTCCCCCGCGCCCGTCTCCTCTGCCCGCTGCGCTCTGCTCCTGTGCCGCACCCACGTTGACCCGCGCTCGCTCGCCCGTCTGCCACGCCTCACGTACACGTACACGTACACGTGCACGCCGCACCCATCCCGCCCCGCCCCGCCCCGCCGTACCCCTAAGCTCCCTGCGCCTGTGCCTGGCGACCCCGCTCTGGCGCCGCATCCGCCGCACCCCGCGCCTGCAACGCATCGCACCCGCGTGTGCGCTGCACCAACCCTTAAGCGAGCCTGTGCTCACGCACCCGTCACCCCCACACTGCCGCGCCGCACCTGCGACCGGCCCCGCGACCCACTGCCGCGCCCACAGCTATCACGCCT